CGCTCCGTGGGAGAAAGATGAGGCTTTCTACTCCCGTAAAGATTTACACCCTCGGAAACCCTGTACAGGGTCGCTATGGGTTGGAACCGACTCGATGGCACTTAACAACAACAACAACAAATGAATTGGAACGAAGATGATGGCAGTAGCTTTTGTTTGGTTGATTTACTAAGTTGAAATCACTGAGTGGTGCAAATAGTTAACGCACTTGGTTGTTAATAGGAAGATAGAAGTGTGAATCCAACCAGAGGCACCTCAGAAGAAAGGTCGGGTGATCTCCTAAAAGGCAATAACTGTTGACAATCCTACTCTGACATGCATGAGATTTCTATGAGTTGGGTTCAATTCCATGGCAACTAGTTGTCTGGCTGCTCATAAGTAAGAAAAGTGTTAACAGTTGTTGCTTGGAAAATTGTCCTCTGGGTTGACCATGTATGTTAAATTTTCTAGGTAACCAGGTATCAATATGCTGAATCTAAAAGCTCTGAAGAATTGAAGGTAAGTAGAAACATGATTTTTTTAAAAATTATTTTAATATATTATGATAATAACCTAATTGACTCCATTGTAAATATCCAATCTGCTAATAAGGAGCTCTGGTAGAGTAGTGGTTATGAATCGGGCTGTGAACCTCAAGCTCAGCAGTTCGAAACTACCAGCTGCTCTGCGGGAGAAAGATGAGGCTTTCTGCTCCCGTAAAGATGTACAGCCTCAGAAACCCCGTGCAGGGTCGCTATGAGTCGGAACCGACTCCACGGCACATAACAACAACAACAGCAACATACTTCAATTTAATAGCACAATTTGGTGAGGCAGCACGTTTTCCCTTTTTCTTTTAGGTCTACTCTTATAATGAATGTGTAGTATAGTGCAAGGAAATGGGTAACAATGAACAAGGCTGTCCAGGAAAGACCAGCAGTAGAGGTCTGGTAAATAACATATATCCAAGGAGGCGAGAGGCCAAATTCTGGGAAGTGAGGAAAGAAAGAAGAATGAGTGGATACTTGTTAGGTGCTGTGGAGTCAGTCACACCTCATATCAGTTCTATGCACTGCCTGGTCCTACACCAGCATCACATGTTGTGCTTGAGCCCATTGCTGCTGCCACTGTGTTAATTCATCTTGTTGGGAGTCATCCTTTTTCAAATGATAGTGTATGTTTACTGAATGCTCTACAGGGTTGCTATGGGTCGGAACCGACTTGACTTAATAACAACAATAACATTCTCAACAACAACAACAAAACAATAATTATTTACTCTTAGCATGATTCTGAGTGTTTTACATGTATAAACTTCTTAATCGTCATAATTAGGTGTTATTTAATGTATGTCTTACATGTATAAACTTCTTAATCTTCACAATTCGATGTTATTTTATATATTAGGTGGTTAGGTGTTATTTTATCCCCATTTTACAGATGAGGAAATTAAGTCACAGAGAATAACCTAGTTACTAGGCTATATGGTTAAGAACTGCTAAGAGCTAGGTTTTGATTCTAGGTTATTCTGGTTACAGAATCAACATTCATTGCAGAGACCAGGTCGATAAAGTCAGTAAGATTACATTATTGGCACCAAAAGTAAGGTTTAAAATCTTAAATTGAGTGACATTATGTTCATTATTCCCTGCTGGCTTTTGTGCAGTTTGGGCCCAAGGATTTTGGTGGTGGCCAGATAATGTCAGAAGTTTGAGGTGGGGTCCTACCCCTGACAAGGTCAAGACAGACACTGCAGATTTATTACTATGTGAACTGACATCAGAGATACCCATTTGTGGTCAGTGTTTTTAAGTCCCATCAAGCTGGTTCCAACTCAGAGTGACCCTGTATAGGGTTTCCAAGAAGCAGTTGGTGAGTTTAAACCACCAAACCTTCGGTTAGCACTTCAGTACTATAGCACCACACCAGGACTCCAGAGATATTCATAGGTTGGTAAATTTCAAAGTTTAAGTGCATCAATAGGTTTTAGCTGATTTCATCCTTATAGCAACCCTATAAACACCCACCCAGCCACTATCACTCATAGCGACCCTATATAGGGTTTCTGAGGCTGTACATCTTTATGGGATCAGAAATCCTCATTTTTCTCCTGCAGAGTGTCTGGTGGGTTTGAACTGCCAGGCTTCTGGTTAACAGTCCAGTGCTTACCCTACAGTGCCACATAATTTTCTTAATTTTTGAATAAGAAAACTGAAAGCAAGAAGAGTGAAGTAAAATGCCCAAATTCACATGTGCCAGGGACTTAAGGGTCTCTTAGAACACCAGACTTTCTAAATTCAAACTGGGAGACTGGTCATGATAACTCAGACTTAAATCTAAATTCTGTGTTTTTTTCTATATAACATTTCCTAAAGATTGTGTAAACATCCAACTTTAAAAAAAGCATTTTTTCAGTAAGTGAAGTGTCAGAATTATAAAACATCTTCCAGATTATTTTATAATCCTGGTGTGGTGATGCGGGTTAATGTGCTAAACTGTAAAGTCGTTTGAACCGCAAGGTCAGTGATTCAAGCTCACCAGCCGCTCCTTAGAAGCCCTGTAGAAGGTCGCTATGGGCCAGAACCGACTCAAAGGCACTTAACAACAATAACTATATATATATATATATATACACACACACAGACATATATATACATACACACAGACATATATATACATACACACACACACATATATAATTGTTGTTATTGTTGTTGTTAAGTGCCGTCGAGTCAGTTCTGACCCATAGCAACCCTATATAGGGTTTCCAAGGAGCAGCTGATGAGCTTGAACCACCGACCTTGCAGTTCAAATGGCTTTGCAGTCTGGCGCATTAACCCACAGCACCACACCAAAACTCCATAAAAAAATACACACACACACACACACACACACCACACACACACATATATATGTATATATACACATATACAAATCTATACACACAAGCACATACCAGCGCTTGTCCTACAGCGCCACAGCAGTACTCCTGGTGTGGTGCTGTTGGATAAACACTGGACCTCAAACCACAAAGTCAACAATTCAAACCCACCAGCTGCTCCTTGAAAACCCGATTCAGGGTCACTATGAATCAAAACCGACTCAACAGCACTTAACAACAAAAACAGTATGCCTGTATGGAGTCCTGGTGTGGCGCTGTTGGATAAGCACTGTACCGAAAGGTTAGTTTGAACTGCAAGGTCTGCTGTTCAAACCATCTGCTCCTCAGAAACACTATACAGGGTTGCTATGAGAACCAACTCAATGGCGCTAATCAGGAGGAGAGTGTGACGCTACAGGATAAGCTGGTGTTGTTAACTATAGGATAAGTTGTTGATGTTGTTAAATGCCATCAAGTCAGTTTCAACTCATAGTGGCCCTGTATAGGGTTTCCCAAGAGCAGTCGGTGAGTTTGAACCACCGACTTTGTGATTCAAACCAACCTTGTGATCCATTGCTTTATTCCACAGTGCCAGGCCAGGACTCCCTATATAGGATAAGTACTGGACTGCTAACCTTAAGGCTGATGGTTCAAATCCACCAGCTTCTCCTCAGTAATCCTAAACAGGGTTGCTATGAAAGGGAAATGACTCAATGGCACAAGACAGCAACTATATATATATTTATTTACATACTTAGAAAACATACTTAGAAAAACCACCTAAAGCTATTCTAAATATTTGCAATGTGACTGCCACACCCATTTGTAAAAGAAATGACTTATTTTCCTTCCTCTTCTGCAGGGTCAGTTGGCTCAGACACCAACACCACCCTCGGTAACTATTTCATTGGTTTTTGTCATAAACATCTCATGAAATAACTCGATCGTAACATTCTTCCCATCACCTTATGTCATTTGGAAAGTAGTATATCCAAACCACAAGCAATTGATATATATATTGTATCTTTTTTCTTTCCTGAGCAATTACTAAAAAGAAAAATAAACACCATTTTCCCTCCTCTTTTTAGGAGAACAGTGAGTCATCAGAAGAAAGTAAAGTTAGCTCAGAGGAACAGGTAATTAAACAGACCTTTCTGACCTTCCCAGGCTGCTGAGGAAATGATGTTAGATTAAATTACCTGGCAAGAGTTCTAAATATAATATTTTCTAACCATTGGTTATGCTAGCTAAACAGTTTCATAAAATAGGAAGAGAAAAGAGAGTGGAGAGAATTTAGATGTTGTGGACATGCTGTTCATTCCAAATTTATCATTGGAGCTAGACTGTAGAAGTGTGGCATCCTAAGTTTCTCTCCTATTTTAAAAAGCAAAACAACAAAACATATACACAAATGAACACGGACTATGTTAGATAAAAAATAGTGCACTCATCATTCTAGAATGTTGCTTTTACAATTGGAGCAGGTCAGATTAGGTGAGAAAAAAGTGTTCTAGCAAACAGGAAGTGCTAACCATGTCCAGGATCCAATTAGAGATTAAAAAGGGAGGGCTCCGAGGAACCTCTAATGAAACAGTTGCTTTAGTGATGACTTTTAATTTAAAATAGTCCTGTCTGTGGCCCAGTGAGTAAGCAAGACAAACTGTTCAGAACCATCATGTTGTTGTTGTTGTTAAGTATCATTGAGTTGGTTCCAACTCATAGTATAAGGTTTCTAAGAAACAGTTGGTGTGTTTGAACTGCTGACCTTATGGTTAGCAGTCCAGTGCTTAGCCTACAGCACCATAGCCAGCCTTATTCACAGAACTTGACTTATTTCTCTTTACTAAATTCTAGTATTTTGTTTTGTTTTGTTTTTGTTTTCAGTTTTAAAGACTAAATGTCATTTCTTTCAGAGTAGTCCCATCATTTTAACCAAATTCAACACTGGGTGGGGTGTCACAATTTGGGGAACCATGTTTCTCCTTGAAGCTTTGACCCTTGTTGTTTTCAACCACTGGCCTGAGTTACAATTAATTATTAGGCTTTTCAGCCCAATTTAAGAAAGGTTTGTCAAGGGAATATTCTAGAAATTTGGAAACTCTTTTCTGGGGACTTTATAAATACCTCAATGTTTTCTAAATTCTCAAATGAGGGCAACAGTTATGACTTGAAAGGTTGTAGTATGTGTCAAATGGGATATGGTGGTGGTTATGTGCCGTGTAGTTGGTTCTGACACATAGTGACCCTGTACAGGGTTTCTGAGGCTGTAAATCTTTACTGGAGCAGAAAGCCTCATCTTTCTTCTGTGGAACAGCTGGTAGTTTTGAACTGCTGACCTTAAGGTTTGCAGCCCAATTTGTAACTGCTGTGTTATCTGAGCTCCTTCCAATGGTATATAGTAAACTAAATACAGCCTCAAGTCTAGCACACTAGGGTAGAATGGGAAGAGGTGTCATCAACTTGTATTCTCAACTGACACTTCAAATTTGATCAGCAGAGGCATGTGGGAAAAAGGGGAAATAAAAGTGAAAGAATCACAAGTCCTTTCAGTTGCAGAACAGAGTATACTAATGAGAGCAGGTTTCAGTCATTGAGAATGAAGAGTCTCTACCTTCTCTGTGCAGAGCCCACACCTATGTTACTCACTGTGGTTACCTCTCTGACCTCACACTTAGAACCAAGCTACCCTTTGGTCACACTGTGTGTAGTCTTCTAGCTGAGCCTTTTGTGGACAACTCTCTCAAGTGCAAATGGGGTCTCAGTATGGCTTCAGTGAGGTGTCTACCCTGCTAGAATATTTACTTTTCTTTGAACTAAAGATTTATTACTTTTGTCCTAATATATTTAGCTTCAGTATTAATTAGGGAAAAAAATATTAGAGTCCTTTTTAAGGTCACTCATCCTGGTGTGGCACTGTGGGTTAATCTGCCGGACTGCAAAGCCATTTGAACTGCAAGGTCAGCGGTTCTAGCTCGCCAACTGCTCCTCAGAAACCCTACACAGGGTCACTATGGGTCAGAACTAACTCAACAGCACTTCACAACAACAACAATATTTTTTAGAACTCTGTTTTAAACTGAACCTATTAATGAGTAAGCATTATAAAATAGTTCTCTAATTTATAAAAAAGTTTCCTTAGAATTTTTTTATGAAACTTAAGTTAAATTGAATATGATTTTAATTTCATTAATGTGATATCTATAAAGCATATATGAGTAAAATTTTACCACATTGAGTTAAGTGTGCCTATGTAAAATGGAGCACCTTGAATTTTGCCTCCTCTTCCTTTGGCTATTTAACCTCTTGTGAACAGTAACCCTGAACTTGGGTTTGAGGAGGCCCATAGGAAGGAGAAAGCAGAAAAAGCCTAGATAGGCATGAGATGATAGCTTCTCTGATCAGCTCTTGGAAAACTGACCATGTCTCTTAACTCCACCCTCCAGGACAGTGAAGACCCCAGTGAAAGCTCTGAATCAGAGGAGGGCTTGGGTCCTGATGATCATCAATATGTCTATAGACCAGCTGGTGGCCTCTCTAGGAGCGGAGGAAAAGAAGGAGATGACAGAGATGACGATGAAGACGACAGTGGAGATGATACCTTTGGTGATGAGGATAATGGCTTAGGCCCTGAAGAGGAACATGAAGGAGCAAACACCAGACTCGAAAGTGATGAGAACTCTTCTGACACCACAGAATCCAGGGAAGATAGCACTCCACAAGGGGAAGACAGTGCCCACGATACTACCAGTGAGAGCAGGGAGCTCCACAATGAGGATGAGGTGAGCAGCAGGCCTGAGGGAGAGGACTCTGCCCGTGAGAGTGAGAGTGAGGAGCGCTGGGTAAGAGGCAATAGTGAGGGAGACAGTAGCCATGGGGATGGCTCTGAGTTTGATGATGAAGGAATGCAGAGCGATGATCCAGACAGTGTCAGAAGTGACAGGGATAACTCTAGAATGAACAGTGCTCGCATCAAATCAAAAGATTCCAAAGGGAACGGTGATGAGCAGCCAAATACTCAAGATACAGATGGCAGCCAATCAGTAGACTATCCCAGTAGAAAATTTTCAAGGAAGTCCCGCATTTCTGAAGAAGATGACAGGAGTGAGCTTCAGGATAGCAACACAATGGAAGAAGTCAAGAGTGACTCCACAGAAAACAGCAGTTCCAAAGAAGATGATCTCAGCCAATCCCAGGAAAACAGCCAGACAGATTCTCAAGAAGACAGCAAGGAGAGTCAGTCTCAGGAAGACAGCCCAAGTGTACAAGACCCCAGCAGTGAATCTAGTGAAGAGGTTGACCTCCCATCTCAAGAAAATAGTAGTAGTGAATCTCAGGAAGAGGTAGTGAGTGAGTCAAGGGGTGATAACCCAGATCAAAACACTGCCAGTCGTTCAGAAGAAGACCAGCAAGACAGTGACTCCAGTGAGGAAGACAATTTGAGCAAGCCCTCCAATTCAGAAAGTGAATCCAAAGAGGAACAAGCTGACAGTGACTCCAATGAGAGCTTCAGGTCCTCAGAGGAAAGCTCAGAGTCCTCTGAGGATGAGAATAGTTCGAGCCAGGAGAGTCTGCAGTCTCAGAGTGCCTCTACAGAAAGCCAGAGTCAGGAAAGCGATTCTGATCAGGACAGCCAGTCTGAAGAAGGAGATGGCAGTGATTCTCAGGACAGAAGCAGATCAAAAGAAGACAGCAACTCTACTGAGAGCAAATCAAGCAGTGAGGAAGACAACCAGTCCAAAAACATTGAGCTAGAAAGCAGAAAATTAACAGTTGATGCTTATCACAACAAACCTATTGGGGATCAAGATGACAATGACTGTCAAGACGGTTATTAGCATCAACTTGCCTTAGCAGTGGCTCTCACATAAAGAAACCTTGGGGATTAAAGAGCAGGGAAATCATCACAACTATAATTTATTTATCCTTTTATCAGAAGGATAACCAGAAGCCATTTCTTTTGGAAAGGAATCGCTGGACATTATTCTTGTTTCAAGGATGTCGACATTCTACAGAACTACAGAATGTGGAATGACATCAGGACATACTCAATGAGACTGGACACAAAGAAAGATGCACATTATAATTGCACAGCTGAAATAGTTCCTAATTCATTAGTCCAACAGATATTGAGGGTCTATTATGTACCAGACACTGTGTAAGGTGCTGGGGATATAAAGAAGTTTAAGACTTTTTTCTTGCTCCTGAGGAGCTTATGATCTAAAAAGGAAAACATACGAGGAAAATAAGAATTATTATAACCCAAAGTGATGTATGTTATAAAAGAATTATGAACAAAGTACCAAGAGAGCATTGAAGAGGGTGAACAACTTTGCCCTGGAGAATCAGAGAAGACTTCACAAAGATAAAGACAATGGAGTCAGAGGGTTGGATAGGATTTCTCCATTGAAGAAGGGAGATATTATTTATTCTTAGGATAAGCAAAAGTAAATAATATATGACTAAAATTTTAGTTCCTGAAAACACTCTTGAATTTTGGCAAAGTGAGGCAATTGGGATCATCAAAACACTTTTCCCCAAAACGATTTTATTCTGTTTGATGTTTTTCTGTGAAATTCCCATGAATATTACGTGACTACTGCTTGGGTAGGTGAGGGTGGTAGGAAGAAATTCTTTAAATATATCATTTTTAACTTTATTTTTCCTAAAATCTGCATATGTGCAATGCTAGAAAAACTGTTCTCTGAATAAATTACCTAAAGTTGCACATAATAAAATTGTGTAGATAGAACTCAATTGATTTTTGCCTAATATCCTCTAAAATGTTACCTCAACTTAAAAATTCGTTTTATAATAAAGACTATAATATTCAGTGGAAATGTGTGCTAATTTTTATAGTAGTATTGATTACTAGGATATGTTTTAAACTTACTATCAGGGAATGTTTGTTTTAAGTAATTCTTTCTTTAACACATTACTAAATGTTTAATTAACTTTCTCCCATGAAAGTGAAAGATTTTCTTGAATTCATATGTGAAAATTTTGTCATTAATTCAGGAAACATTTTAGTCAAATTACATCGTGTTGCTAAGGATAGTTCCCCAAACAAGCATGTTATAGGTGAGAGAGAAAAGATGAGGCCAATTCTCAACTTTTTTCTAAGGCCACACTCAAAATTCTTGACATTAGGATTTAACATTAGTGCTTGCTGGTCTCTCAGATGGTCATTTATGAAAACTATGGAAGCTACAGGTGAACATACTCTTATATTTTTATTTCTTTTAAGGAAACAGCTACCTCTGAGCACTTGTACTTTTTAAGTGTGTTTTTACCCATACTTCCACAGGAGTTCATCAGAATATCCTCCCAAAAATTGTTGAGAACCAAGAAGGCATCTCAGCCTTCTGTCTGACCCTTCTTATCTTTCACATAGTTGTGTCTTCAGAATGGCAAAACTGTTGTCATGAAAGTCCTTTGAAAGACTACACAAAGGGGTATTCAAAATGTTCATGGAAAAGTGGAATAAAATGATAATGGTATTTTTCCATGAAAAATTTGAAACTCCCTTATATATACATACACATCTACTCCTAACTTATCACTTATTCCATTATCCAACATTTCACATTTATGTCAATAGTAAAAAAAAAAAAAAATCTCTATCTGATTATTTTGCACATTAACAGTGTACTTGAGGTACATGGCTGTGGTGGTTAAGGTTATGTGTCAACTTGAGTCTTTTGGCAGTTACGCCATGATGTAGTCATCCTTGATTTTGTGATCTGAAATGCCATCCTTTTTCACATAAAGCCAATTTTTGCATAACAACTTGGTCTTTTGAACCTGACCATACCAGTAAGCTCTATAGATACAGAACTAGATCTAGATATGTTGACGGGCCCTGGTAGCGTAGTGGATTATGAGCTGGGATGCTAACTGCAAGGTCAGCAGTTCAAATCTAGCAGGCACTCCATGGGAGAAAGATGAAGCTTTCTGCTCCTATAATGATTTACAGCCTTCAAAATGCTATAAGGTTGCTATGAGTCATAACCGACTCAGTGGCACACACCAATAGATATATAGAACACACATTCTCTTTTCTCTCTCTCTGTATATACGTTGTTGTTAAGTACCATTGGGTCAGGTCTGACCCATAGCGACCCTGTATAGGGTTTCTGAGGAGCAGCTGGTGAGCTTGAACCACCAACCTTGTGGTTCAAACTGCCTTTGCAGACTAGCGCATTAGCCCACAGAGCCACACACACACAAACTCACACACACACATATGTATGTATGTATATATGCATATGTATGAATGATGCCAGTGTGGCATTGTAGGATAAGCACTGGACCACAAGATTGGTTTGAACCACAAGGTCGGAGGTTCAAACTCACCAATCACTCCTCAGAAACCCTATACAGGGTCTCTATGAGTTGGAACTGACTCAACAGCACTTAATAACAACACACACACACGCACATATATATATACAGTGATGTGAGCCCACCAGCTGCTCTGTGGGAGAAAGATTAAGCTTTCTGTTCTCATGAAAATTTAAAGCTCGGAAATCCTATGCAAGGTTGCCATGAGTTGAAACCAACTCAACAGCACTTAACAACAACAAATATATATCTACATACGAGGGACTTTTAAAAGTTTATGAAAAATTTCCATTATCTTTTCATTGTTATTTTCCATGAACTTTTTGAAACCCTCTCGAATTTTCTGGTCGTCCTCCTTGAGATTTTAAATTAGTAAGTCTGTAGTAGGATGTATCCATCTAGATACCTACATTTGGAAACCAAATCAACTGACTCTGGTGTAAAAGTTTAACAAGTTCATAGCTAACCAAAATATTAGTGGCCCAAGTCCTGGTGTGGCGCTGTGGGCTAATATATCAGACTGCAAAGTCGTTTGAACTGCGGTCGGTGGTTCAAGCTCACCAGCTGCTCCTTGGAAACCCTGTACAGGGTTGCTATGGGTCAGAACTGACTCGATGGCACTTCACAACAACAACAAGTCCACCCAGAGGTGCCTTGGATGAAAGTCCTGGCTATCTATTTCTAAAATCAGTCATTGAAAACCTAAGGAACACAGTTCTACTCTGACACACATAAGTATCCATGAGCCAGAATCAACTGTTTTTGTTTTTTCTTTGGAGTGGGGAGTATATGTTATTAACCTATACATTGTTGTTAGATGCTGTCAAGTCATATGCACAACATAATAAAACACTGCCTGGTCCTGTGCCATCCTCACAATTGTTTATGCTTGAGCTCATTGCTGATGCCTCTGTGCCAATCCATCATATTGAGGGTTTTCCTATTTTTTTCTGACCATGCACTTTATCTGGCATAATGTCCTTCTCCAGGGACTGGTCCCTCCTGATAATATGTCTGAAGTATGAGAGATGAAGTCTCGCAATCCTGACTCTTTATTAAATGGCATTTTGGCTGTACTTCTTCCATATTGCTCAGCATATTACAAGGCTTTGTCTGAACAAGAGTGCTGGGAACTTAATTCCAATCTTATTTTCTCTCTGGACATTTGGATGCTAAGAGAAAACAGTGTTAGAAAGTGATCAGAACACATGTAAAAGGAAATACAAAGAGAAACAGCAACAGAGGATAAAGTACATTAGAGATGGAGCACAAAACCAGAAACCATTGAGCTCCTGATTCAGAGGCAAAATGATAAAACAGTTGTCCATGTGCTTGAATCTTCACACTCCTTTTGTCTACCAGGATTGCATCTGTGAGGCTGGACTCTGCAGGGCTTTCTAGGTTACTATGATGTTCCCTTCTCTTTAGTGTCACATGTATCCTCACCCTTTATACTTGAAATAACTTGAGTGAGTCTTTTACTCATTCAACCAAAAGTCTGAATGAACTCTATCTCATAAACATATGTATTGAGTTAGTCAGTGTACCTAGGTCATATACTACCTGAACCAAGTTAACTCCTAGGATATTTTGAAAAACAATGATAAGAATTTCACACAGATCTGTGACAAAAATAGTCTTAGACATACGTGGGAGAGTTCTCTTTTACGCTTCCAAAACTCATTTTATATATTAGGGAACATCTTACAATTAGAAGTAATATAGAAATGTGGCATAAAGGAAAGTTGCTGGACTTGGTCTTTAATTTTCAAGGCATGAAAATTTCCTCATTGTGCTCAAGAGTAGTCAGGGAATAACAATCAATTTTCTTTTACTAAAGGGCACCTGAGACTAAAGTAGATGTTACAATGCCAATTTTTAAGTTTATAATAAATCAAGCCAAATCTGATTCAGTGATCACGTCTACTAGAATGAAACACCTCCTGGTCCTATGCCATCCTAACAATTGTTGCTATAGGTGAGTCATTGTTACAGCAATTGTGCCCATCTAGCTCACTGTAGGAGTCCTGGTGCGGTGCTGTAAGATGTGGCACTGGACCGCAAGGTCAGTTTGAACTATGAAGCCAATGGTTGAAACCACCAGACATTCCTTGGGAACCCTATACATAGTTTCTATGAGTCAGAACCAACTTGATGGCATTTAACAAGAAGA